TGTACACTCCTATCATGTATAATTTGAAGGAATTTAACGTAATTTATATCTTAACATAACCACTCTCATCATGCATACTTTGGTGAGAATATATATTCCTTACAGTTCACTCTATATAATCCCATTTGATATGCCTATTTAGTTTAGTTCGAGATTAAATTCTCCGCATTGACCGATTCAATAAGCATTATTCCTAATAAATTTATAAGGGCTTGCACATGACTCCCGTAACAGCGCGGAATGTGATGCCTGTGGAGCCTGTGGAAAAGCAAAAAAAAATTGTCATAAAGATGTCGGCCAGTCAAGTGAAAGAGGCTTGCGTGCAATTTGTGACAGACGAACAATCGTCATTTCAAATTTTTGATTCTGCACCTTTTAAGACATTGACGGAGCAATTTTTTAAGGGCTTGGACATGACTCCCGTAACAGCGCGGAATGTGATGCAGCATGTGTCGGAAAAGTATGAACGCGAAAAGGCCTTGTTAATAAGGCGGCTAAAAAATAAGGTCGTTTCGCTGAAAATTGATATCGCTTCAAGGCATTCCAAATGCATACTGGGCTTAAACGTGCAGTATTATCATAATAAAGCCATTGAGATCAAGACGTTAGGTGTTATTGAGCTGCATAAAAAACATACTGGGCTCAATTTGAGCAGTGAAATTGAAAATATTTTGGCAGATTTTTCAATTTCTAAGCAGCAAATATTTTGAAGGCAATAGAGCATTTAAATGAAGACCCAGAAAGTGCGCTAAGCTCTGAGGATGAAAATGAGGAGCTAGTGCAAGAAGTAAGAATTTTTTCCATCGCTTCTATACGATGTGCTGCTCACTCCTTGCAACTGGCCGTCAAGGATTTTTTAAATAACGATGAGAGGAGCGAAATTGTGGAAAACGCGCAAAAAATTGGTGATGATGATGCTTCGTGATGACGATCCGTCTTCGTTCGGGTTTTATTTATAAGTGAAAAATATCGTACAAGAAAAAATGGCGACTTAGTTCATCATGAACATTCGGTGGTGCACACCCGTTGGTCGCCAATGCCCGTGATGTCCAGATTCAGGGAGAGAGAGGATCTTTTCTTTGATCAATTTGTATAGTTTTTTTTTTCGATTAATTTGGTCTAAGCGTTATCCAGCGTCCTCATACTTTTCCGAATCGATAACAGCTTTTTCGATTAATATTTGTTTATTTACTCTTATCCACCGTCCCTGCACTTCCAAATCGATAAACATAATTTCTGGATTATCTCGATTTTTCTTGCGCTTATACAGCGGCCCCAACAAGAGTTTACCATGCCAATCGGCGACGGTGAGGAACCAAAATCCCTTCTGACCGTTTCTAAGGCGGAGGCGTCTCACAGAGTCAGAGCAACGAGTGAATCCTCTGCGCCTTCCGAAAGCGATAATCCCTCTCAAAGCAAAAGCCCATTGACAACCACTTAAATCTACGAGCACGTCGCTCGAAGTTCCACCGTCTCCCCACGTTACTAGATCATCTGGAAGAATGGCTAAAGCTGAGGGATGAAATTCATGACCATAACCGATAGGATGGGTCAGTTCGAAGCCAGAGTCAACACCCCATCTCACTCTCTCGCACTATTAAGGATCTCCACTCCGCTCTCCGAGCGGAACTTGCAATTTCCAATTGAAAGTATAGGTCTTAGATTACGACCAAAGTGCAGACATAGACAAGAAGCTTCTTAGACCCCAATTTTTAAGGTTATTAAAAGTTTTCAAATTAATTCAAATAAGACCACTTCTACTGACCGAAAGCAGTTTCCAGTGGTCCCTGCAGAAGCTATAACTATTCACAACAGTCAAGGAGCTACATACAGCAAAGTGGTGGTCCACACTAATCTTGGCATGCAGAGAGCTGCGCTGTATGTAGCCTGTAGTAGAGCCACAAGTGCGGCAGGACTTTATGTTGTGGGATCTTTTGAACCCCCAAGACCCGCTCAGAATTCAGCTCCAGAAGTAGAGCTCCCAGAATTACGTTCCTCTAAGCTATTGAATACCCATTTCGATTGTTTACACAATATTCTGAACCTTCATATTTTTTTCCATAATACGTAAAGCTTGCACTGCCACATTAGCGATGTATGTTCCGATCAGTTCGAAACGAACTTTTAGAGAATGTTAGTCTTTGCACATGCGATCGGTTTTTTGCTAATGTTTTAAATTTGGCCTCTCCTGTGCTCGAGTTTGCAATCTTCAAGTATCGATATTTAGGGATTTTTGTTGTATAGTCCGACTTACCCATTAAAAAAGTTTGTGACAGAATTTAGGGAGCGGCATTCGTTTTTAAATACGAATTGTTTAGTGTTAGGAGATTTTAATTTATGCCTTCACTCCACCTCTGGCTGCTGTAGAAGAATTTATGATTTTCTAGTTGAAATAAAAGGTTTTCGGTCTCTATTAGATTTGAATTCGACAACAACCAATTGCAATACTCATAATGATTGGGCGTTTTCAAATACATTTGATAGTAGGGCCACTACTATCTACGACTACTACTACTACTACTACTTATAGTTTATTTTAGTATGCCTTCCTTATGTTACGGAAAATACTCGTAGGTCCTCAAAAATTATTTTGGTTTGAAAGCCACGTTGCAAAACAACGTCCTCCACGTGGTGTTCCCTGGATACCGATTTGCACACTATAATCGGGAGCTAATTTGAAAAAAAAAACTCAATTACGATTCGAAGAAAGCAAATAAAAATCTAGCTATACAAGTTTTGTACAATTTTGGATATTATTATGATTACCTCCTTAGATAAGCTGTGATCAGAAACAAAATATTATGATATTTCAATATAAATTAAAAACAGATATATGGTAATAGAATATATTCAAGCAAGTAAATAAATTAAACAGTCTACATAATTTAAAAAAAAAAAAAAAATTATTTAATGTTTCCCAACCATTTGACAGCTGAAGATGAGTCCATGTTGTTGAGAGACTTGAAATGGACTGGTGTAAAACGCGTAACAGATGGCTTTTTATACCCTTTATACTTTACCTTTTTTAGCACCAAGCGATTTCTTACTCTGGTTACACCTTATTTAACAGCTTCGTAACAGGTATCTGTTAAAGCTGGCCATACACATCTGTGCTGCCAGCTTAACCTTTTTCTGGCCAAATCTGGTATTTTTCAACCAAATGCAGGAAAAATTGTGAGCTAGCTGCTGGTGGGAAATTTGTAATTTTTCTGATTACCAGAACACTTCCAAATACTACAGCAAATCAAAATGTTTTCTGTTGATAAAATGTTGAATGCTAAAAAGGATTCTGTTATTAAAATCCTTAAACAGGAAATAATGTATGTATATCTTATAAAACGGGAAAATACGGATTGCACTTTGACATTTTGCGCTGAAGCAAAAAGGTCTGCGGATCCGGGAGGTAATTCACTAGTCGTACACTTCTGATGGGAATATCGATTTCACTGAGCTCGATAATTGTCTTACAATTTTCAATTACCAATATATTAAAAAATATTCATTAAAACTACATCAAACCTAAAATGCCTTTTTTCTGGGTTTTATTAATTTCATCTAGCCGTTTCTAGCAGGTTGAGCAGGTTACAACATTAGCATTTTATTGTCCGGAAAAGTTGGCAGCACTGATCCACAGGCGAATTTTATTTTCCCACCAACTTTTTGGCGAACATTTGTTCGCTGACGGAAGCAAAGCAGTAATTGCCTTGACGCCAATTCATACTTTTAATGAGAACAAAAATAAAAACGGGAAAAAGAGTAAAAGAGAAAGCATATCTGTTTTATATGCTTTTCTTTGCATCTTGCAGGAATTATACGTATGGATGTATACATATGTACATACATATGTACATACATATGTACATATAAATTCGATCTAAACTAAAATGTTCGTGAAAACATTGCCATCCAGTGTCAAATTTGTTAGATAACATCGTTTCTACATACAGTGTTTTTTCTAGTATTAAGAAAAAAAAATGGATTTAAAAGTCCTAGTTTAGAGTTATTAACCGTTAAAGTGCTTGCACGAAATAAGCTTGTGCGTCGGAGTTGCCCTATTTTTTAGTTTTTGTATAAAAAATTTTTTTGTTTTTTAAATTAGTAAAAACTTTTGTTATTATTTTGATAATATGCGACATTCTTAACATTACTGCGTTTAAATTTTTTTGATATCTCTGCTGGTTTAGTAGCACTATCAAATTAAAAATTCGATTTTTTCTTGCACGAAATAAGCTTGGATCCACTGTACATATCTTAGTCGAACAAAACTTCGAACTCGAAATTTGGCCGCGAACACCGCCAAAAACGACGAAAAGTTCGTCGAATCGAACAAATTAGCCTGTCGATGGTCTCCTTAAGTTTCAATGTTAACTGAAATCATAAAAAATTGTTATTTTAATAATATGCAACATTCTTAACATTTCTGCGTTTAAATTTTTTTTGATATCTTTGCTAGTTTAGTAGCAGTGTCAAATTTAAACTTTGATTTATTCTTGCAGGAAATAAGCTTGGAGCCACTGTATGTTCCGAATTAGCCTGATTAGATTTAAGGCAGTTTAAAAGTACTTGTCCAATTATGTGATGGATCTGTATATCAGATTATAAAGATTATAAACTTAAATCTGCATTGTCTAAGCCTTAGTACAAATAAATATCTAAACTTCTTAAAAAGCTTTCTAATAAATTTAATATGTTGAATATTTTTAATCATAAAGAATAAATATACAAATCAAATAATTTTTCTGTTCCGATATTGTTATAGGAAGCTCCTGCGTTTTTTAACTCCTGCGGAATTGGCAGTCATGATGTTTTATTTTAATAATACCCAGTGCGAGATACCTTGCAAATACCACACTTAATTTAAAAAATACCAACGAAAATTTAAAATACCATATGAGCTGACGTCATCAATCGAATATTCGATATTACGCAGGCATTAGGTGATTTTGTGCCACCCGTTAGGGATTTTTCGTTTCTCTTATTGTCATCTTCCTCTAGTGTTTTTGTTTCTCTCTTTCGCTGGAACATAACGGACGTGTCGTCGCGTCGTCCTCTTCGTCGCGCGCGTGTGTGTGTTGTGTCTGTGTGTACTGAAATATTTTGGGGTCGCAGCAAATCGGAGAAAAATTCTTAATTATACAACTACAATACTCGTGTTTGTTCTCGCAGCAAATCGAAGTAAGGCAAAGGAAGAATACGAAAAGTTTGCTGAATTACGTGAGTAGCTGGTGTGTGCGAGCAAGAGCGAGGCGGCAAATCTGTGCGGCGGGAAAGAGAAAGAGCAGCAAAATATAATTCGATGCGATTGCTTCTGTGTGTGTGTGTACGTGTCTGTGTTTAGTGTCCATGTGTGCTAAAACAAATGCCTAAATTGCAACAAAGAAAAGTGTATGAAATATACGAAGCAAAGAGCAGGGCAAAAGCCATAAAGAAAGAAGAGGCTGCTGCTAAAGAAGAAGAGAATGAAGCAGTCGCCGCCGCGAGTTTTTTTCGCGCGTGTGTTAGTGTGCATACAAATATATATGAATAAAGAATAGGAATAAGAAAAAGCAAAAAATGTGTGCAAAGTAATCTTATTATATTTTATAATTCTTACAGCGCTTGACAACGAAAATAATATTTACTAAATGAAAAATACAACAAAAGTTAATTATATTGCTTAATCAGTGAACTGCGGTTTCAATCGTCTTCGTCTTCCCCTTCTCTGCATTTTCTTAACCGGAATGCCAGCAACATAAACCAAAATTTACAACACAACAACGAATGGAATAATATAAAATAAAAGAACTTTTAAGAGAGCGTTGAGCGTGCGAGAGAGAGAGGCGTCGGCTAACGGCTTATCAATTGGCAAAGCGCGAGGAAAAAGAAGGCGTGAAAGAGGAGGAAAAAGAAGCAGAGCGCTGAGTGCGCGAAATGTGAGTAATCTTAAAAAAAAAGAAACATAAGCTAAATAATTAAAATCAGGAAAATTCGTAGAACGCTTTTCATATTCCTATAGCAAATGCATATGAAATGTAAGCTTGCAGAGCAAGAAAGTGTGTTCACTGGTGGTTGTGTTTTTATTTCATTTTACTGGATTGATAAGAGCGGAAGTGTAATTCAGACCTTGGGGAAAGTCAAACGTATTTATTTATCGGTTTCCCATGTGCCGGATACTTTGGAATCTGGGGCAGTTAATTATAATTGCCAGTGGGAAGACAGTGGGCGTTTGCTTTAACAGAAATGTCGTATATGTGTTTTCTATTTTAAGAAAACTAATTTAAAAAATCAGCGAAATTAAATACATATGCTTAAAAACACTTTTAACACCTTAAAAAATGTTGATTTTTTTGAAATTCTTATTGTTAAACATAAACTGTTTTCTATTTTCTGTAACTAACACAAAAGAAATATTTATAAATAACTCCTTCATTTTTACTTTATTTTTGATAACATTGAATTAACCTTAAATCTTAAAATATATAGAATTTTTATTTGAAAGTTACACTCTTTTAAAATAATAAGAAAAGGGTTCTTTTAAATTGTTTTGATACAAAACTCACACTCTACAAACTCATTTGTTAGCCTGTGAAATTTCAAAAGGATTCAGGCATTCACATATGATTTTTGTGATGTGATTGCGTTTGGCCATTAAGAGTTTTGCAGTCTGTCAGTTTCAGTCTATGAAATCCAATTAAAGGAACTCACGACAAACAAAAAAGACGTAAAAATGTCCGAAGGCGAGTTAGAGAGGCTTTTTTCTTGTTGATTACAGGCAAAAGACCCGAAAACCAAAAAACCAATTATGGCCAACTAGTTGGACTGGCTATATGTACGTGTGTCTGTCATACATACATACATATGTAGATTGAGGGACTTGAGGGGTCTGGAAACATGCGTGCCATTTGGCCACTTCGACTTTGCCCATTTAGCCATTTATCCTTACCGCAAGTTTTCTGTCAATTAAAAATTGTTGCAATAGTTTCGTTTGTTCTAAGTTTTCCGTTTTGGCTTTTTTATGCATACACAGCAAATGATCATCGGGAATATTTTCTATTTGTAATTTGATGTTTTAAAAATTCGAATATAAATAAATAATACTGATGCCTGACATAACTGAAATTAATATAGAATCAAAATTGCCTTTAAAATTTATATAGCACTTCTAATTTTAACTTTTTTGGTTCACTGTATCAGGCGATTACTGTACTTGTATTGTTGTTGTTTTGGTTGCGGCTGCTGCATTGGATACACACACATAGTCAAAATAAAAAAAGAAACAAATAAAAGAAGAAAAACAGACAGCTTTTGCTTCCCACTTTATCTCCTTGAGTTTGGTGTTGTTGTTTTATTTTATTGTTGCCATTGCACTCCGCTCTCCATTCCGCCTACTGCTTCTTCTTCGTTTTCTAGCCTGTCTCTTCATCTTCTTCCCCCTGTTAACTTTTGATGCCAGCATACATATGTATGTACTTACATATGTGTAAATGTAAAAGAGATACCGTTGCCAGTAAATGTTTATTTGTGTTAGTAACGTTTTTTATTCTGTTTGTGTGCTTCTTGTCTCTCTGCTGCTTCTTATCTTCCGCTTCTCTTCCTGGTTAAGTCTTCTTATACGGATTACAACGTTCGTTTTTGGCGCTGTTTTTACACTCACAGAATAAAAAATGTACATGTATTTGTAATCTATTTTGTTGGTATCTTTTTTGGAAAAATTAATTTGTAATAATAACCGAGCAATTATTTAAGATTTCTTTAAAAAAAGTTAGCTACAAGCTATAGAAATTTAATAATAAACAAATAAATAAATCAATAATATAAAGAAAAACACACATTTTTGTTTATAATAATATTATTATTAACAAATATGGATTCAAGTATTAAAACTTATTAAATTATTTACCTAACTATGTTTAAAGATAATTTTTACTCGATAAAATTATGGTGGGAATTAATTAAGAAATCACAATTTAAAACATGTCATTTCCTTAATGATTTGAATTCAATTAGTGAATTTATCTGTCACAAAACCAATATTTTTAATACAAAATGTCTACTTAAATATGCAAATTAATACTAATAGTAAAAGTAAATAATTATCCAAACGAAATACCAATTGCAAGTAAAATAACCTTTCAGTTTTCCATACCCTTTAGTCTTTCTAAAAGACAAATCAAATGCTAGATGCCAAAAAAAATATAAAGTTACTGTTCACCTTGCTCGATTATAAATATTTGTTTAGATACATCCTACGAACAAATTCGTGTGCCGCCTGTGTCATGGCATACACTCACACTCCTGCGAATTGGCTGTGTATCTATGTGGGACAGAAATAGTTGCATTTTGGAGGTCTGCACTTTCATGGCGGAAACTCGAAAGCGAAACAATGCCATAAATACAACAAAAACACACATACATATACACACACGGTCACAAAAACCAAAATATATAAATAAATTCGGAAAAGAACAAGGAAAAACTTTTACAGAATGCGAGTGCAGAGGGAATTTGGTGAACAAAGGTGGGAAGATTCTGTGGGAGGAGGGAGTGCGGTAAATGGCCTGCTGTAAAATGTTGTTGACTGTTTAGAAATTAAACTTAAATTTAGAACCGAAAGTTCGAACGCAGCTGCCGGAAAATCGGGTAAGGTATATATCTACATATATAGCAAATCGGGAATAAACGATACATACATACATATATAAATATTTAAAATGTTTCGGGAAGAAGAAGATGCTCCAAGTTTTGTTGTTTTACATCTTTTTGTATGCACGTCGTGAGCTTCGATCTTGTTTATTTCCCTCTCTTTTTTATTTGTCTATCTCTGCTTCTTTTCACGTGTGTGTATAGTGTTTTTTTTGACAGTTGAATGAACTCAAGCATTTATTAAAAAAAAAGAAAAGAAAAACAAAAACTAAAAAAAAGCTATCACACACATTAACAAACAGAAAGAGCATGCAAGATAAACGAAAGGCTACACTTGAGGGCAATGGATACAATTGAAAAAATTATTTACAAGCCCATTAATAATTCATTATTTAATTCTGTTATATTAATGCCTTACACATTAATATTGAATGTTAATATTAATAAAATATTTATGAATATTCATTTTATTATAGAATCTAATATTACTGTGCGTTTAAAATAATATAAAATGTGGATTAATTAAAATTGAAATTATTACGAGTAATTAAGCATATTCGAATACTCACTATTTTGTTGGCCTTAGTTGTAGCATAGATAGTGAGAGGAAGCATGGCAGAAATAGGGGAAAGAGAGTGAGATAAAGGCAGAAAAGCGAGATGGAGAGACCTCACCAGTCAAGCCACAAAAAGTAATTTTGTGTTGGAGCTAGAAAAAAGAGGAAAAACAAACCAAAAAAAAAAAAACACTGCGTGCAGGCCTTTCAATAAATGGTGGCATGGTCGGCGCTAAGGGGGGAGAAAAAAATGGGCAAAGAGGAGCAGAGGGGTGGAAAAAGGGGTGGGAGGAATGAATTGGGGTCTACAGCCAGACAGTAAATGAAGTTTACGTGGAGTTGTTGGCCGGCAATGTTTGTTGCCTTTATTGGTTTTCCTTTGCCTCTCTTTCTGTATTGTTTTGCTGTTTGCAGCTTTATATATTATTTGTTGTTTTATTATGCTCAGATACGCAGGGCTTGCAACTTTGTATGGGACATTAGATACAGAGAATCGGTTTTTGGTCACAGAAATAGCACAGAATGAAAAATAGTTTAAGTTCATTGTTGGATTTCGAATGGCAAAGAGGAAATCGGACCATACTAGCAAAATACGGTCAAATTGGTCAAAATTGTTCAAAAAACATTTATTTGTTTGGCTCTTAAAAGTATCTTGTGATACTTCCTATTTAATTTTGCCATTATTATTATTATGAAAATATACGAATGCTATATAAATAATAAATGTTTTATGCTTTATAAAAGATTGTATTTGAGAACTGTCTAATCGACCATGTGTAGTTTAAATTTAATAAACTTCCTGACAAAGCCTTTTATCTTCGTCTTTGAATCCAAAGATAATGATTTGGTTCCACTCGAAGGCCTCTTCGTGCGCTGTTGCCAGTCTTCTTTTTGTGTGTGCGAGTGTGTATGTCTAATACCTAATGCATTTTCACTCTCTTTTGAAGTGGGTTTGAGTGGATGTGGGTGGAATTTTTTTTTTTCGAGATTTCTCAAAAGAGAAGGGGGCTCTTCTTGGCTTGTATATTAATAATATTTGTTTGGTCTCACGTGGTCTTAAATATGTTCATGTGTGTAATTCATTCATCGAATCAGCTCCAATCAATGTTATAAATTGAGGTCGTTCTTGGGCCTGTCCCTTCATTTCTCTTTCCCAGTTTTTCCTGCTGATTCGTCGCTTAATGGGCTTCGCTTAAAATCGAATTGAATCAACCAGGGACACACAAAAATATATATATATATACATACGTTTATATGCATATTCAATATATGTATACGGTATATATCCCCCTTATTGGGTCGTTGGCAATTTTTGGTCGCTGTTTTTCCAAAACGCATGACGCGCGCGATTTTCGTGCTGTTCCAGTTTAAGCTTTAAGTTCTCTGTGGCACATAAATCGATAAATGTTTGCTTAATTCTTTTTCTCATAGGCCACACCTTTTGCCTCTCCAGGATGCAAACAGCTTTTCGTTTTCTGTTTCTCTTCTTGTTGTTGTTTTGCTCTAGATTTTCCTGCTGCCTGATTTTCCACTGTGGCAGCAGCTGCCAAAGAAAAGCCAAAACAGCAAAACATGTGTTTGAAAGCGAAGCCAAGACAAACTGGCGTCGCCTGTCAGAGTGAATAAGTCTTAAAAATCGCAAAAAAAAAAGAAACAGAAAAAAGAAAACAAAATATAAGGGGGTCCCGGTCCGATGGACCCTTTCAGGGATAAAAACAAAATGCAGGGTGTCGG